AAACTCCCACCAGGATGGATTTCAAGTTGCAAATAGTTAAATAAGCAGCTCATGAGTTCTTGCATGTTTAACAGCCAGCTCCAGCATGCCCCTGATTCTTACAGTAACTGTATAGTTTGATTTGGGGTACTCCGAACACTCCTGGTGTCTGCCCTGGGTTCTGGAGTCCCATTTCATCTAGCATTGTCCGGCTCCCTTTCCCTCTCAAAGGAGTTCCAGTTTAGACATTAAGTTAAATGGTTGCCCATGTATTCCTCATCGTGTTCCTCACCTTCTCCTTCCTTCCCAGGTTTAAAAACCCTCCCAGGTACCCTTCCATGCAGTCAGTTACCATTCGTGGTGAAGCTCCTGCACTCCTCAGCGGACATGCCTGGTTTATAAGCTGCATCCACATAACCATAGATATAGGTGCTCCCAGAGCCGCCAATGGTGAAGGGTTGCCGAGTCAGCATTCCTCCCAGGGTTCCATACACCTGGGGGGGCATCCTCAGGTCAGACTATGGAAGCACCAATCCTCTCCTTGCCACTGAGACAGGCAGGGTGTCTCCGTGTTCTGTAGTGAAGCCCCCCATCTCCTACTCCCATTGGCGAGATTATACTCTGTTTTTAGAGGTGGTGTCCTGGGAACTCACTGCCGGAAGGATGTAAACTCTGTCTCCCCCCATAGGGTAGAGGGGGTACATTGGAAGACATGCACCTGGCCCCCGTCCCGTCGGTCCCAGCCGGCTACTATGAGATGCGCAGACAGGTCCTCCCGATACTTATAACTGATATTCCTCACCACGTTGGCAGCAGCGAGAACAAGAGGAGGTTCTTCCAGTTCCAACCTAAAGGGAGTGTTAGTAATAGAGGTCAATATAACTTCCTGAAGACCACCCTCCTGTGCCATTGCCATCATCCCTGCCAAGTGACATGTGAAACCTGAAACCTGTGGTTGCAATAGCTCAAACTCCAAGGGGACTAGTCTCACAGCACCCACTGGTAAGAAAATTCAACATTCCCCTCCTTTCCTTCATCCCCATCCTTTCTTTACCCATCCCCCAATTATATAACACTGCTGCAAGGGCTGTGCCCATGTGGGTAAAAGCAGGTAAGATTTACTTCTGCACCAACGACCTTGGTTTCCCACTGGGTAACTTCCTGATATATGGTGGGTCACATCATCATTTTCTTTCTCGTTATTCATAGTGGGACAGAGATTTACAGTGTTCAAGCCCTTTTCACATATATCATTTGATTCTCAAAATAACTGTCAGGTGAGGTAGGGTAGGTGCTGTTAATTATCTCCAGTTTACAGAGGCAGAAACTACATTGGAGCGTCAAGGTCCAGTTCAAAGCTAATAAAAACAGGAGTGCAAACAAGAGTTTTTCATTTTTCATTGCAGTGCTCCTGGAATGGGACAGTGTCTCAGGCTTCGCGGGTGGGGAGAACTCTGGTGAATGTGGACTGAGGACCCCAGAGCTTCATACCCGTGGAGTTCCAGTTGGTAGGCGGCCATGTCAACCATGGCTTGGGCATCAGCAGCTGAACCAGAGAGTGCACAGAAGATGTGTTGGTGCAGCGGGGACAGCTTGTCAAACACTCGGTTTACCACCGCCTCTCTGTGGGGAATGGGTCAACAGTCACCAACATTAGCAATGCCAGAATTTTGGAGGTTAATCATCCAGTGTTTCTCAAATTTATCTGACAAGAGAACAGCCCTGGAGTCCATGAAATTTAATACTTGGATTAAAACAGGAAGAAAAAAATCATCTCGAATAAATGAAACACCACAAGTTATCAAAATTAGACTTATTTCCGGCTTAGGTTTTATAGTAAAACAAAAAATAGTAAATTAAGAATCATGTTTTTAAGCAATTTTTCTTTGTTGTACCCCTCTTGAGGAAGTTATGTGTTCTATGGGACATAAAGTAAGTAATATCGACGTAATCTCATATACTCATTTTGCATATGGGGAGACTGGCCAGGATGGAGGAGACAAAATCAGTTCAACATGTGCTGGATGAGAAACCAGAATATCTGCTTGGCAGAACCACCTTTTCTATCTCTAAATATAGATGGAAGGAGGGCCCCTGAAATCTTTGTGTCTTACCTCTTTCTCATACCCTATTCTTTTATACCCATTTCTGCAGGGACAGGCCACAAGCATTCAGGCCCCAGATTCTCTTTGATGAATTCAGGGACCGAAGCACTTGCCCAGTATCTCATTAGAGGGCATTTCTGAAGGTTAACTCCATTTCCGCAAAGCTCCACTTTACCAGTCTCTTCATGAATGGGCAAGAAAAATCTGTATTTAGGGCCATTGGCTTCCTTCCAGAAGCATTCACCTTGACTGGTACTTACCCTGCAGACACTCGGGAATCAGAACCCACCACAACACCTCCGTCAAACTCCACTGCCATGATGGTTGTCTGCAGACAAAGAGGATGGAATGTCAGAGCAGGGCGAGACTTGATTCCCTCATGCTACAGATGAGGAACATCCCCAGAGAGGTGAGGTGACTAGCTCAAGATCATACAGCAATTTAGGCCAGAGCAGACTCCCAGGACAGGATATCTCCTCTATCCCCCCACCTTCTCTGTATCCTCTCCCAGCTGCAGGGGAATGTCACAGCCAGCTCCTGGCACAACAGAGAAAGAATCCTATCCCTGGGCTGCAGCCTTCTTAAGTTGAATCCTTCCCACTATAAAGAGAGAGGTGGGGATGAGGTTCACAGAGGCAGACGTTTGGCTCAAGGGGATGCTTCCAAGCACTGGCGGAAGAGGTAACCCTCCAAGTGAATGATCTCCGCCACATGTGCTCCTAGTGTGTGCGGATGTGTACAGACCCGACACAGAGCAGGTTACTGTGACCTTGGGAAACAGCCTCAAGTCTTTCTTTGGCCCCTAATTCTCCACCCCACACCCCTTAGCCAGTTTATTAAACAGCAGAAATATCAAGGGGCGCGGTGGTTCGCAGGGCCCTGCATTGAGGAGGGAAGCAGCCAGGAACACACGAGATGGTTTAAAATAAAGGTTTCATTTAAGGAGTTATTTATTTTTTCTTTTTTAAAAGTAGGCTCCACACCCAGTGTGGAGCCCAGCATGGGACTTGAATGCAGGACCCTGAGATCAAGACCTGAGCTGAGATTAAGAGTGGGTCGCTTAACCAAATGAGCCACCCAGGAAACCCTCATTTAAGGAGTTCTGATCAAGAGTTCAATAGGTACCTCAGCAGCCAGAGGAAGAGATCTGTACCAGGAGAGGATTTGCCTGGGGAGTTTGAGCTCACTTTTTCAGGTCAAGAAAGGAAATCAAGGAAAAGAATTAAAGAAGGTGAAAGGGATAAAGTTACACGTTTTCTACTCCTGTTGAGTTGGAAAGAGCCTTAAAGGTCCTTGGTTCAAATGCGGAAACTGAATCATGGAGGAGGCGATTGACTTGTCAAGGTTACCTAGAATTAATAACAGACTGGGACTAAAACCCGGGTCTAACTTCCCTGTTGTTGTGACTTCTGCTTCCCATTTCCCACTGCTCATCAGATTTTCTACCTTACAAATTGTTTTAGTGCATTCTCATCACTCTGTAAGTCCGGACCCCAGGGCCATTGCCCAGAGCGCGCTAACATACTGATCTACCATGAACTGAGGGTCACTGAAAAAGGGCAGCCCCATTCTAGAGGTTATTCCTCCAAAACAAAGCTGCCCGCAAGCCAAGAGTGGTGGCATAGTTTAGGAACAGAAGCCAGCCGGCCATGGGCTGTGGGCAGCCTGTTGCCCAGCCTGAGCAGGCAGGTGAGAGTGAGCAAGAAGGACATAGGGAGCTGCACATAGCAGTTCCTGAGCCAAATGGGAGCCTTCTTGGATCAGGCTGGGGAAAGACAACACCGTCTCACAAGGAGCCCCCATTATCAGAGCTGAGGCTATGAGTTACCCAGCAGCCAATTTATCAAAGGTCTGTGTGATGAGCTGTCCCTTCTCAATCAGTGCCCATATTCCCTTCGCCCCAGCGCTGTCCTACTTCACCCAGGGCACCATTTCTTCATCAGTCTGCACCTTCTCCAGCCCCCTCCCCTGATTTAAGCAGCTCCTCTCTCCAGTCCGGAGTTGAAAGCGAAAGCGCTTTAGAGCAGCTTCCCCTTGACGTTTTCAGCTAAAAGCCAATGCACCCCCTTCTCCACTCGCCTCGCGGGCCCAGTCCCTTCGTGGACTCCTATAAGACCCCCTTCGGAATAGAGGTGCCCCGTCTTCATCTCAGGGCATCTCTACAAACACTGGCTGCTACAAACTACCTCCTCACTCTTTTAGTCACCGCAAACACTCCTCGGAGTTTCCAGCGTCCCCCCTGTCGCTCCATCGCCTGCCTCCACCTCTCTCCAAAACTCCGGCACAGACTCCTTACCCCAGTGCGGACTTCGCCGCCGCGCAACATCTCGGTGCCGCTTGCAGCCTGGGGCACTGCTCTCCGACGTGGGACGGCAGGCAGCGCACGCCTCCAGCCCCGCGCCTTCCCCACGCCCGCCAGGGGGCGCCCAGGTCCGCTCTGTGAGGCCTCGCGCCCGGCGCTAACCTACTTGGCACAGATCTGCCCGGAGACAGGTGACGAAAGAGGCTGGGGTAAAAACATCCCGGCAAGTGGAATTCGCAAAATGAAGCAGAGATAGCAAGGAAGGACTAATGTGCCTGATGGAGAAGGTGGAGCCGCAAGTCCGCTCCCTAAAACCTCATATTTGATTTCCACGCCCTCTCCCAAAATAGTCTGGGCGGGCCACCTCCTGCGCAGGGCGAACCTACTGAGCTGCTGCCGCTTTCGTTTTCCCTTTCCGAGAAACCGCCCGCTTCCAGGAGCGCGGCCAGAACCAGCTGGTCCTGGGACTTTCCGGGATCCCCTCCTCCGGCCGCCCTGCCCTCCTTTCCCCGCCTCTCAGCGCTCTCTCGGTACAGTACCCGAGTCTGCGGCCCCGCGCGGACAGCGGGGAGTCCCAGGCCGGGGGTGCGACCTCCGGCAGCACCCACGCGCCCATGGCCAGCTCGGGGTCCCGCAGCCCCTGCGGCTGCCTCTGCTCGTCCCGAGCTTCCCTGGCGTGGCTGGGGGTAACGCTGCTGCTTCTCGCCGACTGGGTGCTGCTCCGGGCGGCGCTCCCCAGAATAGGCTCCGCGCTGGTCCCCGCCGCGCTGCCCCTGCTCCGGGTCTGGGTGGTGGGCCTGAGCCGCTGGGCTGTGCTGTGGCTGGGGGCCCGTGCTGTTCTCGGGGCAACGGTCGGCTCCAGCAGGAAAAGCGCAGGAGTTCGGGGATGGCTGGCCGCTCTGCAGCCATTGGCGGCGGCGCTGGGCTTGGCCCTGCCCGGACTTGCCTTGTTCCGAGAGCTGAGCTCGTGGAGCGTTCCCAGGGCTTCCGACGGCTCTCGGCTCCTGCACTGGGGAAGTCGCCTGGATGCTTTCGCCCTCACTTACTTGGCAGCAGTACCCGCAGCCGCCATGTGGCATAAGCTCGGCGGTCTTTGGGGACCGAAAAGTCACGGGGGTTCAGGAGACGCGGTGCGCCGGCTTCTAGGCTGCCTGGGTTCAGAGATACGAAGCTTCCCGCTCCTGCTGGTCCTGTTCGTTCTCTCCAGTCTCGGTAAGAGGGACGCAGGGGCAGAGAGGGACGGACACTAGGGGCCTGGGCAGGAATCACAGTAATAATGGTCAGTGAGATCGGTTAGTGTGGGTTCTGGGAAATGTGGATCAGAGGAAGGCGACCGAGCTCTGGTGGTGAGAAGACTCGCTCCGGTGTCAAGGAAAGAGCCCTGGACTCCGATGCTGCTTCAGGCGTTGCTTCACTAGCCACCCTGGGCAAGTCTTTTCTTCTGAGCAGCACACCCTATGACCTCTGGTCTCCCTATGAAACCTCTGAAGGTCCGGTGGGGCTCAGGGTTGTGAGTTCCACGGTGCGGGTGCAGGGCTGGGTTCTCAGTGTCCTCTTTCTGCCCGGGCCCTCCAGGATACCGGTGACGGTTCAAAGGAGTGGGATGAGGGCCGGGCCCCCTCTGCTTGGAACTCATCTGCTTAGACTTGATATCTGTGACTGACCTCTCCCTCCTCTTCCTCTCCAGGGGAAATGGCCATTCCGTTCTTCACCGGTCACCTCGCCGACTGGATTCTGCAAGATGGGACAGCCTCTGTTTTCACATGGAACATAACGCTCATGTCCATTCTCACCATAGCCAGGTCTGGGGGCTGAAGATGGAAGCCTGAGAATGGGGGGCCCTGAAAAAGAGGGATCTGGAAGCTGGGGCTGCTGTCCAAAGGGCCCTTCTTTGGGACTTCTCTCTGTCCCTGGAACAGGGCCTGATCCTTCTCTCTCTCCAGTGCAGTGTTGGAGTTCGGGGCTGACGGTGTCTATAACAGCACCATGGGCCGTGTGCACAGCCGCTTGCAAGGAGAGGTATTTCAGGCTGTCCTGCGTCAGGAAACAGAGTTTTTCCAACAGAACCAAACGGGTGTGTTATGAAACTCATTATATATTTGTATACTCTTTATTTTCCCCATATATCCTCTTTTACTTATAACCTTGATCTTTCTTTCTCTCGCGTAGACATTGTCATTTCTTATTCTTGATATACTTTGAGTATTATATTCTTTACCTTCAGAAAAACCTAGCTTTTCCATCTAAATTTCCATAAATTTATCCTTATGTGTATACTCAGATAAAAACTATAGAATTTCAAACCTGGAAATTTTGAGATCACGGAGTCCAGCTCCCTATTTTGCAGAGAAAGAAGCTGAGGCCCGGACCCTAAATGCTGAAACTGGCATGGGCACATATGGATAGGGGTGAGCTTGGGGATAGAACGCATCTCTTGGTTCCCAGCCGAGTGCTTGGTAGAGTTTTCTGGACTGCTTTCTAGCAGCACTCTTTTTCTCCAGCTACATTATGTGACCAGCTTAAGCTCGTCTCTGTGCTCTGTGTGAAGCAAGGTTATATACATGCTCTTTAAGGGATAGAAACTGTCAGAGAAATGGAAATTCACATGGGCATCAATTTCCTTATAGTTACAATGAAAATCTTTGGCCAGGTTTTTCCTAACACTCATTCTCACAGCACTGAGATCCCCAAACTCCCCTATCCCCCTTACTTCTCTTCCTCAGCCTCCTCAGAACACCCTGTTGCTGCCCCCTTTCCCCTGGCTCCTCCCCCTGGCTGGTTGCTAGTCCCTTCCACCACTCTGAGCTTCTCATTCATTCACTTTCTTCTCTTCAATGCCTGGCAGGAGCCATCACTTCTCGGGTGACAGAGGACACCTCCACGCTAAGTGAGTCTCTGAGTGAGAAGCTGAGCCTGCTGTTGTGGTACCTGGTGCGGGGGCTGTGTCTCTTGGGGCTCATGCTCTGGGGGTCACTGTCCCTCACCATGGTCACCCTGGTCACCCTGCCTCTGCTTTTCCTTCTGCCTAAGAAGCTGGGAAAATGGCACCAGGTATGACCAGGGAGCTGCCTCACCCTACATAGACCTTCATTTCCTGGACTGGGTGGAATTAATCCCTCTTAGATTTCTTTCCTGGCACCCTCGCTGATTCCCAGTCTTCACGGGACCCCCTGTCCCTGTAACCCATGCTCCCAGATGGCTCAGTGCTGAGCTCCATACTGTCTGTGTCTTCTCTTCTAACTTCTGCCCACGATCTGTCTTTGCAAACATGATCACCAGTCTTGAGATTTCGATCCCCTGTGACCCTTCTAAATAATTTCCTCTGCTCTGTACCCCTTTGGTATCCAGGAAGCATAACTGTGCCCCTTTGTCTTAACTTCATTCATCTGCCTCTTCTCACCTTTAATCTCCAACTAGGTAACTCAGGTACTAGTGTCCCTGTTGGTTTGCCAACCCTGTGTGACATCTCTTGTCCGTGTCTCCACAGGTGCTGGCAACCCAGGTGCAGAAATCTCTGGCAGAGTCCAGCCAGGTGGCCATTGAGGTGCTGTCAGCCATGCCCACAGTCCGGAGCTTTGCCAATGAGGAGGCTGAGGCCCAGAAGTACAGCCAGAAGCTGCAGGATATGAATACCCTCCATCAGAAGGAGGCTGTGTCCTATGCAGTCAACCTCTGGACCAGCAGTGTGAGCACCTGTATATGAGTGCCTGAGATGCCTCGACTTCATTCCCTTTCCCGCACGCTGCCACCATGGGGCAGTGGTTGGTTCGGTGTTCTCATCCTAGCAATGGGGCTCAGTTACCCTGCTCGGTGTTCCTAACTGCCTCCCTCTCTTTAGACCTGCCAGATGGCTTCCTGTCACCACGGAACACAGAATCGTTCCAGCCCCCTTTTTGGGAAGGGGCCATGTCTTCCAGTCCTGGGGCCTTCCTTTGCCTCTCAGGCAGAACTCAGACATAAAGTTCTGCAGCTAGCCTGTGTCATATTGTGACTGTGAGAGCCATGGCAATAGCAGAAGCCAAGGATGAGGGGCATCTGCTCCGTCATTGAAAGAGAACTGGAGCAGCATTCAGAATTCCTGCCTTGATGCTGCCGTTTACTAGCTCTGTGATCGTGGGCTAGTAACTTACTTTCTCTTGAGACTGTTTGCCCATTTCATTTTTATTTTTTATTTTCTAAAAAAGATTTATTTATTTGAGAGGGAGAGAGCATGGGCAGGGGAGAGAGATAAAGAGAGAGGAAGCAGACTCCCTGCTGAGCAGAGAGCCTGACAATGACTTGGGACTCTGAGATCATGACCTGAGCCGAAACCAAGATGTTCAACCGACTGAGCCACCTAGGCTCCCCTGTTTCCTCATTTAGAAAAGGGGGAAAGGCATAACCTTGTTTATAGGGTTCTTGCTATGAATAGTAGATGACATTTCATTTAAAGCCTTTTGTGAAGAGTGCTCTGCAAACAAGTGTTCTTCACACAAGGTGATAGTGGTGATGGGGAGAGCAGTGATGACTTCTGTGGTGTAACCGAGCAAGACTCCATGGAGCCCCCATGGTGCACGCTCCCTGTCTGGCCGTGGAGCCTCCTGCTAATCTCTGGCGGGAAGGGACTTTATATCTCCAAACTGCTAATGCGTCTCATACTTTGCACCACCCTCCCCCCGAGATTTTTCAACCACAATCCCTTTTCTCCATGGTCTCTCCACAGATCTCAGGGATGCTGCTGAAGGTGGGAATCTTATACATCGGTGGGCATCTGGTGACAAGTGGGGCTATAAGCAGCGGGAACCTTGTCACGTTTATTCTCTACCAGATCCAGTTCACCACTGCTGTTGAGGTGAGAGCCTTCCATTTTCACTCACTAGTGCTTTTCCTTCTTAGGTCCCATCACCGTCTTTGTCACCTTCCTTCTGTTATTTACCCTTCTCCTATCACATGGCCCTGGCAAGCCGATGTGTTCTCCCCTTTGCAATACTCATACCTCCCCTGCAGGTACTGCTTTCCACCTACCCGAGTGTACAGAAGGCTGTGGGCTCCTCAGAGAAAATATTTGAATACCTGGACCGGATTCCTCGCTGTCCTCCCAGTGGTGTGCTGACTTCCTTAAACTTGGAGGGCCTTGTCCAGTTTCAGGATGTCTCCTTTGCCTACCCAGACCGTCCAGATGTCCCAGTGCTGCAGGTATAGCCTACCTATCCTTGTCTGTCACCGGCCTCGCTCATCTCTACCATCCTAAACTCTCTTCCTGTCTTTGGCCCGCTTAGCATGAAGTACAGATAGATCCTTCCTAGCCCCTCAAAGGCAAAGATGAGCCCCGTCTGCTCCATACAGCTGCCCCGAACTCAAGAACTGGTTTGGATTTGTAAGAAGGATGGGAGAAGAGGCTCTCCAGGAGGAGGGTCTCACATCCTAAGGAATTGCTGAAGCAAAATGTCTCTAGTCTTCTATCTTTTCCTCTTCTTTCCATTTGTCATTTAGAATGTGATTTTTTTTTTCCCTGCTTTCTCGTGACATTTGATATCAAGTGTGTGACATAGTGGTGTTTGGTCTCTGCTCTGATTTTTGCCCAATTTTCCGTCTCTATTCCTTGGGGAGCTATCATCCCTGAGGAACAGAAATTTATGCCTGTGGGAGGATAGGAGTTGCTGTATTTCCCCATTCCCCCCCAGCCCCCTTTCTTCTCTGGGCTAAGACGTCATGCTATGTAATAAGACAATGGCAGTCTCAAGGTTAGAGGCCTTAGTCTGTCTCTCATTTTTTTGGATTCTCTGACCTCCAGGGGCTGACATTCACCCTACGGCCTGGTGAGGTGACGGCTCTGGTGGGGCCCAATTGCTCCGGGAAGAGCACAGTGGCTGCCTTGCTGCAGAACCTGTACCAGCCCACCGGGGGACGGCTGCTGCTGGATGGGAAGCCCCTTCCCCAATACGAACACCACTACCTGCACACACAAGTGAGCAAGAAGATGGCGGCGGTGTAGGGGGCAGGGGAGGGGACATCAGTGAACACCTTAACTGAGCGTTCTGAAAGGAGGACCAGGGAATGACAGATCTTGGGTGGAGATGGGGTGTTGTCAGGAGAGAGTGTGTGTAATTTTGTGATATACGTTCAACAAAGATTTTGAGTCATCAGTCTCTAGATAACCATACTCCTGTGTTCTTGTTCTTTGACTCTTCATCATATTTTGTCCTAGGTGGCTGCAGTGGGGCAAGAGCTACAGCTATTTGGGAGGAGTTTTCAAGAAAATATTGCCTATGGCCTGGTCCAGAAGCCAACTATGGAGGAAATCATAGCTGCTGCAATGGTGTCTGGAGCCCACAGTTTCATCTCTGAACTCCCTGAGGGCTATAATACAGGTGCCTTTCAGCCCATATCCTCACCCAGACATCTTTTTTTTTTTTTAAGATTTATTTATTTGCTTATTTATTTGACAGACAGAGATCATAAGTAGGCAGAAAGCAGGCAGAGAGAAAGAGAGGAGGAAGCAGGCTCCCACTGAGCAGAGAGCCTGATTCGGGGCTTGATCCCAGGACCCTGGAATCATGGCCCAAGCCGAAAGCAGAGGCTTTAACCCATTGAGCCACCCAGGCGCCCCTCACCCAGACATCTTTACCGAGTCCTTTATTCTGTAGTCCCTTCCAACCCACTGACATCAGTTTGAAGTTGTAGGATCTTGTTCCTCTGGCTTCTTCATGCTCATATCCTCAGAACTCGGTCGCCTTTCCAGAACTTTCCCCATCCAGCTGCATCATCCATCAGTCCTTGGTGTGTGTCTGTGCACGTCTGCGCCCGCGTGCACACACAGGCAAGCATGTGGAGGCACGTGTGGTTATCCAGCCCTCACCCTGGCTCTTGTCTCTGCAGAGATAGGTGAGGCTGGGAACCAGCTATCAGGGGGTCAGCGACAGGCAGTGGCCTTGGCTCGAGCATTGATCCGGAAACCACGTGTACTCATCCTGGATGATGCTACGAGTGCCCTCGACGCAGACAGCCAGTTACGGGTGAGAGGGACATTTTGTTGGTGACTGTATTCCCCCTCCCCCAGTCTCCTTTCCTTCACTCATCCTATGTTATTTATACTAACATAGTTATCCAGATCAGTCCCTGCGATTCTCAGTTCCCAGTAGCTGCCCCCCCAAGATGCTTAGAACCAATTCAAAGATACTGTCTATAGACCCTGAATCTCTGAAGCCGAACATAAGAAGACCATCCTAAAAGTATTATTATCAGTTGAGCTTTTACTCTTTTACTATATGCTGGACATGCGATTAGGGCCCCTGCATGTATTATCTGACTTGTTCATTGATCTTGAAGGCCTTTGAGCTGGGCATTGTTACCCTCATTCTACTCATGATAAAAAGGGGGTGAAGAGAGGTTAAATGACCCCTCGACGTCACTGAGCTGTGGAGTAGCAGAGCACAGACCCAGAGTCAAGCCTGCCTGACTTGAGTGCTCATGCTTTTTACCACTAAGTTGAATTTCTTCAAAACAGAATATAAATTCCCAGTTTATAGGTAAAGAGGAGAGACTGTTTGATACCCTTTAATCTTTTCTTATGGGTTTCACCTCAGGACTCTTACTTTTATCCCACTGTTGCCACCTCATGTAAATAGTCCTCAACAAATCAAAGGTTGGACAAAGAAGCACTTAGAATGAGAATCCTAGACTCCTTGGCAGACTCCCAGACTCGTTGGCAGAGGTGGCAGTGATCCTGGTGAAAGCTTTCCGGGCTCTGGAAACACAGATGTCTCCCTGGGCACTTGACGGAGTCTGCGTCTTTTCTCAGGTGGAGCAGCTCCTGTACAAAAGCCCCGAGCAGCGCTCTCGGTCTGTGCTTCTCATCACTCATTGTCTCAGCTTGGTGGAGCAGGCTGACCAAATCCTCTTTCTGGATGGAGGCACCATCTGTGAAGCAGGAACCTACCAGCAGCTCATGGAAAAGAGGGGACGCTTCTGGACCATGATGCAGGCTCCTGGTGGGTCAGGAGCTCCAGAATGAAAGACGACTCTGACCTGCACGTGCCGTCTCCCTCCCTTCTTTTCTCCTCTCTAGTGGAGAATTTGGGAACAAGGGGCTTACCAGAGCTGCACAGTAGGCAGCTGCTTCTAGGAGGAGCGACTTCCTAGAAAATAACTCACTAGCTGATGCCTGAAATTCTGCCATGAGTGTTGCCCCCTCTCCAAACTCCTCTTGATGATGCAGATTTCTTGGAAGAAAACAGGGCTTATAACTCCTTAGTGTAACCGGGTTCAGAGCCAGGGTTTTGGTGTGGAACCCTGGAAATGAGAAGAACTTTAAAATATAGAGAGGGGAGAGCAGCTACTTTCCACTAAGACTAAAGTCATAAGCTGGCCCATAAACACACTCTGGATTCTTGATATTTATAATAAAACCGGGGTTTTGTACTGTGGTTTCTTGTTTTCAGCGCACCAAATGGCTCACCAACGCTTTCAGTGAATTTTCCCAGAGTTTGGTCTCTCCCTCCTTCAGGAGCCTCAATGCTTCACAGTCCCAAGTGGGTCATATTCTCCCCTTAAGTTTTCTGTTTCCTATGGTTTCCCCCTCTACTTTCCTATACCCCCATGTCCGCCACCAAGGAAGAGCCATAGTGGGATACAGCACCCTCCAAGCACTAGCAGCTGCAGTTCGGAGCTCTGGCCTTTCTGAAGGGGAAAATGGAGGGCAAGCGTAGCTAGAGGAAGAGGAAGTGCAAGCGCGCCTACCGATAAACTGATTTTACCAACCTAACCCGCCGCTGGTCCATTCCCGAAGAGCTCACCCGGCTCAGAAGAGACACCTGCCGGGGTAATTTCAGCGTAGTGTGGGCGGGGTTGTCTAGTAAATCTCTTCTATTCTGGAAGGGCCTCGGTGTGTGACGTCAACAGTTGCCGAACAGTTTAGTCCAACACAGGTTGCAAGGGGAGGCGGGGTTTGGAGGAGTTCCTCCGTAGTGCTCAGTCAAGCAAGGAGGTGCTGGCAGAAAGGGCGGTTGTTGTGGGTGGCTCTAGGTTAGGGACCGTTGAACCAGGAAAGGTCCTGAGGGACTAAGTCGAAAGATTCAGAGACTGCACCCTCTCCTTGGTGCCCCCCCCCGCCGCGGGGGCCGGTTGCCCCACAACCTGTCCTCAAGCCTCACTGCCCCTGCATACTCCCCCTTTCACCCAATTTTATAAAATGATGCTCCTATGAACACCTCCAGGCCCCGGAGGTGAAACAACTCCCAGCTTCTTGAGATTTGCAGCTTTCTGGCTAAGGTTAAGCCTTTAGAAGATGCAACCCCATACCCACTTCGTAACTGTTTGAGAGGATGCCCGGAGGCGTGTTGGTGTCTCTCACTGGAATCTCAGTACCGAGGGGGCTTTCGAAGCCGCTCCCTCTTTTTTCTTTTCTTCCGACAGTCTATCATCACTCTTTGTTTCCCCAGCTAACATAATGGCTGAGCAAAGAAGCCTGTCCCCAATATGATGTTTCTGGTCTCCAGCCTCCCACTGGCCTCTTCTTGGAAAGGGCAGGGGGATGTGGAAAAAAAATTCTGGTTCCCTCCCCTTAAGGCTGAGGGCTTTCGCTTTCGCTTCCTCCTCCGACGGTTTCTGGGTCCCAGGCGACAATGGCGTTGCTGGAGGTGTGCGGAGCCCCCCGAGGACAGTGGAAGGATTGCGCTGTCCCAACCCTGGGAAGCCAGTTTCGCTCGGACCCTGGACACTACAGCTTCTCTCTGCGGTCTCCGGAGTTTGCCTTCCCCCGGGGAATGCAGGTCAGGGCTGTAAAGAGAATCCCGGGTGAGGGGGAGACGGGGAGTAGGGCACAGAGGAAGGGAGAGTCCCCCTTGAGACTACCCAGAGGGGGCCATCCTTTAGTGAAGGAGAACCACGTCCAGGGCCCCGTGCCAGGGAGGAGGACACGTGGGACTCGGGAGCTGATCGCCTGCCTGAGGATTAGAAAGTACAGATTAGGGCAAAGAGTTAGAGGTGTGGTGGAGGGAGACAAGAGGGCTTTCCAGCCAGCTCTCCCTCACACACGGTTCATGAATCACAAAGCCTTTCTCCCCGGGCTCTCATGGGCCTTGGAAAACCTGGGAACTTTGCTAGCCTCCTCTCAGCCACTCACTGTTGTGCATCTTGGCTCAATCACTTCGTCTAGGTCTGAGGCATCGCTTCTGTAAAATGAGGATATTATTAACAAAACGTGTTGTGAGTGTTAAATGACCTATGAATGGAAAGAAAAAGTGCGTTAAAGCTGCCCTTAAAATGTTTACTTATGGTGAACATTTATTTCCTTTCATATCTATTGTGCTGGAAGATGGAAGAGGTTGGTGTCATGTGCTTGTTCTTTTCCTTCTCCCAAGTCAGATCCTGGTAGAGATTGGTTATTAACTGTTTCGCTTATTCATGGTTGGAGAATTTCTGCCCACCTCCTCGCTCACAGACTCTTGTGAAACCTTTTCTGGAGACTTGTGTTTCAGAAGTTTTCAGTGCCCCTTCGTCTACCTTTTCTCTCTAATTAGCCCACTGAATTCCTCCAGTCCCTTGGTGGGAATGGTGAAAGGAATGTTCGGATTGAGATGAACCATGGCACTACCACTCTGGCCTTCAAGTTCCAGCAAGGAGTGATTGTGGCAGTGGATTCTCGGGCTACGGCTGGGAGTTACATAGGTGAGTGTGTGTGTGTGCCAAGCGGCTGGAATCTGGGGAGCTGGGCCCCTTTCTCGGCAGGAGGCCCACATCTGCATCAAAGCAGAAGCAGATACTAATTTTGGATACACAGGGAGAGCTGTGGGGTGCATCCAACTCTCTCAAAGCTCCATCTCCTTCCAGCCAGCACAAGGGTTAACAAGGTGATTGAGATTAACCCTTACCTGCTTGGGACCATGTCTGGCTGTGCAGCGGACTGTCTGTACTGGGAGCGTCTGCTGGCCAAGGAGTGCAGGTAAGCCAGGTCTCCTAACCCCCTCCTAAGCCCAGGGGTCAGTGGTGGATCCTGGAACCCCCAGATCACTGTTCCTCATCCTTTCCCCGGGGCTAACGTAGCATCTTGGTGTTAATGTAGCATTTCACAAAACAGCTTTCTGTTGATTCGAAAACCTTCTCCCAAATCTCAGCCTGTGCTCTTGCCAATAAGCCAGATAGATAAGTTGTCACTTATTTAGCACTGATGTCATAAACCCTGATGGGATGGTGTCATTTACTAGGATTTCTTTATGTGGTTTAGATACTTTAAATTCCGAATCTCTCCCTGATCCTACCAAACCATTCTTCTCAAATGCTTATCTCTTTAATTATTTCCTGCACATCAAGCAGGCTTCTCTCCGAGAGCTAGACTTCTCCTGTCCCCTCTGAGTCCACTGCCCCCACCACCCTGTCGTACCCAGGCTGTACTATCTGAGGAATGGGGAGCGTATCTCAGTGTCGGCAGCCTCCAAATTGCTCTCCAACATGGTGTTCCAGTACCGGGGCATGGACCTCTCCATGGGCAGTATGATCTGTGGCTGGGATAAGAAGGTGGGTGCTCTCCATTCTTCCTATGTCATTTCCCATGACAGGTGAGAGACTGATTCCCCATCATGCACTCCCACTCTCTCCCTTATAAGATGTGTGGCACGTAGAACACCAGGTTATAGAACTGTTCCAGCATACCCATGGACTATTTCTGGGTCCAGAGGTGGACCATTTTCCCATAAGCTTGTTCCTTTGGATAAAATAGCTGACTCCAACTTTTTTCCCCTAAAGTTCTATGATTGTTACTAAAATGCTGGTTCAAATGTTCCTGGGTAATGCTTATTCTTTTATCCACTTTTTATGGCTCACACTTGAACCTGTATGTTATTAAAAACTCCCTTTCCAACTCCAATGGGAAACTTCTTGCTTCCTGTAGGGTCCTGGACTCTACTATGTAAGAGAAGATGGGACTCGGCTCTCAGGAAGTATGTTCTCCACTGGCAGTGGGAACAGCTATGCCTATGGGGTCATGGATAGTGGCTATCGACCTGATCTCAGTCCTGAAGAAGCCTATGAGCTGGGCCGCAAGGCTATTGTTTACGCCACCCACCGAGACAGCTGTTCTGGAGGTGTCGTCAACTGTAAGAGACACACCCTACATACCCCTAGATGGGGAAGGGGGATTTGAGATTGGGAGAGTTAGAGGAGATAAAGTGGTAGGGAAGAATCAATCTTTCTTTCTTTCTTTCTTTCTCTTTCTTTCTTTCTTTCTTTCTTTCTCTCTTTCTTTGAGATTTATTTATTTATTTGAGAAAGAGAGAGCAAGAATGCATGGGTGTGGGAGGAGGGGCAGAGGGAGAGAAACTTCAAGCAAACTCCCTGCTGAGTGCGGAGCCTCATGTGGGCTCCATCTCTTGATCCTGAGATCTTGACCTGAGACCAAACCAAGAGTCAGAAGTTTAACTGACTGAGCTGCCCAGGTGTGGGAAGGAGGTTTTCAGCATCCAAAGAGGGGCATTGAAGTCCCAGTGATCAAGTATGTGTTGAGAGTTAGTTTGGGAGTATGTTATTGTCACCTTCCACATAACGCCATGAACAGTAACTTGCTGGAGTGAATGGTGACTCCCTGTTCTTTCTCATCTGCCCACAGTGTACCACATGAAGGAGGATGGCTGGGTGAAAGTGGAAAGTAGAGACGTCAGTGACCTGCTGCACCAGTATCGGGAGACCAGTCAGTAATAGTGGTGGCTGAGCACGCCTTTTCTGGCACAGCCTGGCCAACTCAGGAACCTGGGCTAGTTTACACTCCCCAGGAGAGGGGAGCCTTAACATGAGCCCTGAGGGAGCGAACCAGTGGGCAGTGTGAATAGGGTGGAGTTTACCCTCTTGTGTGTTGTCTGTTTCAAGGAGCATTCCCCTTACCCCACACTCTGGGTGCCCCACTAAGCTCAATAAAAGAAAATGGTTATAAATGCTTCTGTGTTGCTGCTGACTGGACTTGGGGCTGGGGCGGTTGTGGGGTGGGCGCAGGAAATAGAGAGGCTTTCCCTGAGAACAGACCTGAGCCCCAACCTAAGAAATGGGGCCTCACCAAATATTTCTGTTGGGTTTTCCTTCCACACTCGTCCCTCCATGCTCTCAGGAAGGCCGGTCAAGGTCTGTAGACACATATTTGCCATTTAATTTAGGTTAGGGTCCTTTTTATAGGAACGCAACCTGAAGACTCCTGTGTGGTTCACTGTTAATGGTTTGCGTGTCTGGGAGCAGGGTACTAGAACGAATTGTTTTTGACGTTGTAGAGTCAGATGAAAAAACAGCCACCTCACGTGTATGTGGTGATTGGAAACGTGGTACATTTACCTCAAGTAACATTTTGGGGACACTGGATATTGAATGCAGAGATGGACATTAGGGGTTCAATTTCATGATATGTCATGCTCAATTAATTGCAAGATGACAGGACCATGACTAAAGAGGACTCCCTCCTTGAAAGGGAAATATGAGGAAAAAGTAAGCAGGTTTGGAAAATGAGAAAGGCATAATGAGTTTTTCTGAATCATGCAAGGAACATGGACAATGTCCCCTCTTACGGAGAGTTGGAGAGTTAGTTAAAGAAAAAACTTGAAAGCAATTAGCAGCTGAACAGGGAGCTTTTGTTTCCATTAAGGACAGAGTCTCCTTATCTCCAAATCTCAGAATGGCAAGCTTGGAGAAATTTTAATAATCCTCTACTTGGAATACACCTTCCCCCTTTAAACTAGAAGTGCCTCATTGGTAAACATACCAGTAACCTTTCAAACAGGTGGTTTGGAATCCAAGTGATCCTTCCTTTGGGGGTATTCTGAGTTGGGGAGGTAGTTTCAACCTGAATAGTTACTTCTGGAATAAACAAACCAGCATGTTCCATAGGTGGGCTCTGGGTCAGGCAGGACCTATAGAATCCTGTTTACCCCTTAATCAGTGTTAAAATAGACCAGGAAACAAAGTGCATCCTCCTCAAATGCCAGAGGTGCCCCCCAAGACATAATCTGAAACACACCGTAGAGGCTCCTGAACTTGTGCTCTGCCCAGGGAGCTGTGCTGAGGAAGGCAGGTGAAGATAAAGAATCAGGATCCTTCCGCTCAATCTGTGTAAGTGGAAACCTACTGAGGCCCCGGTCAAAGTGTCTGGGACCTTCTATTTAGAAGAGGTCCTGAGTGTCTCTCGCTCAGAATCTGGCTCGGTTTTGATCCCAGACTCTAAAACTGGAGCCGAGGATAGAGGAAGAGGCAGTTCTCAAAACAGGATCAGAGCTCAAGGCAAGAAAATCCAGCGTTTCTCCAAATATAAAACATTCCTTGAAAGAGCTTTGTTTTAATTAATGAACTTAAAACACTTTGCAGGAGTTTTCTGCTCCAGAGTCATAGCTGCTAAGCGCAAGGAGCTCTGAGGGGCGGGGCGCGTCGCGTGCGCGCCCGGCTTGGCACTGGGCTTCCGCGGGCGGCAGGTGTCGGGCGTCCCCTGCTGGTGGCTGCCCTGCCCGAAATCGGGGCTGGGTCTAGGGAAGCGAAAGCGAAAGCGGCGGGCGCCGGGACGCCCCCGTTTGCAGAGGGCCGCCGGCAGACAGAAGGGGAAAACGAAGGAGAGCCAGGGCGAGCCGATTTCAGAGCTCGGTGCTCAGCACGGAGACGAAAGCCCCCCGGAGCTGCAGTCCCGAAGCCGCCGCGGGTGAGTTCGCGCGGCCCGGAGCCGGGAGCGCTAACCGAAGCATCCCAACCCGCCACCCATTCGCACCCCCCGAGCCCCCTCACCCGGCCCTCTGGCCTCCCGGAGAGTGCGAGGGAGCCGGGCGGGGACCGCGGGGCGGCTCTTCAGAACTCGGTGGCGGCGGCGGCGGGCTGGGCGTAGGGCAGGGGGTGGATCACGGGATTTTTTTTTTTTTTTTCTTTTCTTTTTTTAAAGGCTGAGGCTCCCTATGACGGGCAGGATGCCTTCTATCATAAGCCGGCCGTAGTGATGGGCACCGGGGACCCAGGGGATGATTCAGGGTAGGGGTGGGTAAATCGAGAAGCTGACGGACGGGTTGAGCGGAGTCGGGGTGGTGAGCATAGGGCGAGGATTGGGACCCCACCTCCGTCATTCCTCTTCTCCCCCTAGATAACACCATGAGGTTCTCTGACCTGAGACCCTGCGCCTTCCTGCTGCTGGCGGACTCGGCTCTCCTCTGGCTGCTTCAGGGGACACTGGGGGCTCTCCTTCCCCCGGGGCTTCCAGGCCTTTGGCTGGAGGGGACCCTGCGACTTGGAGGGCTCTGGTGGCTGCTAAAGGTGGGAGGACTCCTGGGATTGGTGGGAACACTGCTGCCCCCGCTCTGCCTGGGGACCCCGATGTTTCTCTCCCTGAGGGCCCTGGTCCCAGGGGCCTTGAGTGCTCCCCCAGTCAGAGTGGCTTCAGCCCCTTGGAGCTGGCTGCTGGCAGGGTATGGGGCTGCGTGGCTAAGCTGGGCCATGTGGGCTCTGCTGAGCTCCCCAGGAGCCCAGGAGAGGAAGCAGGACCAGGAGAACAACACAGAATTGATGTGGAGGCTGCTGAAGCTCTCCTGGCCAGACCTGCCCTATCTCGTTGCAGCCTTCTGCTTCCTTATTGTTGCCGTGTTGGGTGAGTCCCGAAGGGGGCGTTGGGAATCGGAGGTGGGCAAAGGTCCTTGGTGCCAGCATGTTCATCTGTTCTCCTCCATACCGCTTTCAGGTGAGACATTCATTCCTTACTATTCGGGTCATGTCATTGACATCCTGAGAGGTGATTTTGACCCTGATGCCTTTGCCAGCGCCATCTTTTTCATGTGTCTCTTCTCCATTGGCAGGTAGGTGATGCTTAATTGGGTTCATTTGCTAGCCTCACATCTTTACGGGGGGCTCTCCATTTCCTGACTCTGTTTTCAGATCCTTTAGTACACGAAGCATAAAGTACTTAAACCAGAATATGTGTGAAAGTGTTTATTCACCGTTGTTTCACACTCTCAGCCACTCTTTCATTCACCCTATTTACCCAACATTATGCTTCCAATCCATACTTGCTACTCTTTGCTGAAGCCAGCTCTTCGGAAGCGACTCCCAGACCCATATTTCTACACCCAGCTCTAGTCTTGTAGTTCACCTGTCTTCTTGACATTGCTACTGGACAACCCACTGTCATCTCACACTCCACATACCCAGACCTTCAAATGTACCATACTCCCTCCTGGTCTTCTTGAAAGTGACTCCCTCTTTTATTCCCATGTACGAGAAACAACCAGGGTCCTAGGCTCCGTCAGTATTGTTGATGCCTTTCTGATGTTCAGACACTAGCCCCACCGTTTTCTGCTTTCAAAGTGTTTCTCCTCTGGCTCTTTTCTGGCCATTCTCATGGTAATTGCTGGAGTTCAAACCCTCCTCATTTTATGTCTGACTATCCCAACAGCCTTCTAAACATGGAAACCATATTTTGTGAAATACTTGCTTCTATCTTTCCCATTTTTCCTTTAAGTTTTGTTATATAAATGGTTGGCCTAAGAGGAATTCTCAACTCCAGGGACAAAAGAGGTGAGGGACAGCATGTCTCTGGGGCTCCAGAGAAGAGGAGGGCAAGGGAATTCATTGCTGCAGTTCTCAGAGTAAAGTAGAAAGGAGGACTTTGGCGTGGGGAGGCAAGAGACCAAGACGGAGGGGGAGGGTAGAGGAACAGCGCTGAAGAAGGTGGGATCTGGGTCAACCAGAACAGGAAGCTATTTCTCTTGACATGTCTTCGTTTCTATTATGGTCTTCCCTATGTCTAGCATGGAGTGAGTTCCATAGATACTCGTGATTTTGTATACGTTAAGATTTTGTTCCCAAGTCTAGCTCTCCCTGTCCTGTTTTTCCTGCCTCTGTTTGTTCCTGCCCCTCCCCTTGTCTCCCCCGCTCTCTCTCTGCATCTCTTCTGCCTCTCATGGTGCACTTTCTCCAACCTTGTATTTCTTTTCATTCTGTGCTTTCTCCTCTGCTTCTCTCACTCGTTCCCCTCTGGGCACCTGTGTCCCCTTCATCCCCGTTCCCTGTTCCTTCCCTCGCCCACAGCTCACTGTGTGCTGGCTGCCGAGGGAGCTGCTTCACCTTCACCATGTCCAGGGTCAACGTGCGGGTCCGGCAGCTGCTTTTCTCCTCCCTTCTGCGCCAGGACCTCAGTTTCTTCCAGGATACTAAGACAGGTGGGGCCTGGAGTCCAGGTCTGGGATTCCCCTGGACATTTCTTGCCTCTCAGTTACCCTCCAGTCCGTAAACAGCCTCTCTTCCCACCTACACCAATGGTGCCAGGGCAAGGAGCTGCTGAGCTCTCTTTTGGGTTGGGGTAGTGAGGTCGCCTCCACTGGTCTCTGCAAGTGAGGGGGTGTTAGGAAGAAGGGGCTTTGTCAGTGGAGACGGTCCGTGGGGGCAGTCTCTGGGTGTTCTGCTTTACAAATGGTTTACTCATTGGCTCTGTCCTCCCCAGGGGAGCTGAATTCGAGACTGAACTCAGATACCAAATTGATGAGCTGCTGGCTTGCTCTGAACGCCAATGTGCTCTTGCGAAGCCTGGTCCAAGTGGTGGGGCTGTATGGCTTCATGCTCAGCCTGTCCCCCCGGCTGGCCTTCCTCTCTCTGCTCAAGGTGCCTCTGGCAATAACAGCTGAAAAAGTGTACGATGTCCGCCATCAGGTATGTGGGGATGTTAGGGAATCCCCAGCAGAAGAAGCTCTTCCAGAGGTCTTCTCTTCTCAGCCTCCAGAGCAGTAGTTCTGACAGGCTTGAGAAGGACCCTGGGCCCTGGGATTTTATGTAAGTGTGTGTGTGTGTGTGTGTGTGTGTGAGAGAGAGAGAGAGAGAGAGAGGAGAGTGGGAGAAGAAGAGGGAGCATTTTTCTGGAAACAGGATAACTTCCTACTAGATTCTCAAAGGAGTCTGGGCATACCTTCTCCACAGAAAGATTAAAAATGCTGTCTTGGAGGATTTTAGGTAGAGTTTTCCCCTTTCTAATCAGGGCAAATCAATTTGGGTGGAGTGTAGAGAAAGTAGAAAAGTGCAGTCAGGAAGTCCTGAGTCTGAGTATCAGCTCTGCTTTCTCTCTTTTTAGAAAAGTGGTGGTAAAGTTTACATAACATAAGATTGACCATTTTTACTATTTTTTATTGTGCCATTCAGTGGCATTAAGTACACTCACATTGTTGTGCAAGGATCACCACCAGCCATCTCTAGAAACTGTCTCCATCTTCCCAAGCTGAAACTTGGTACCTATTAAATAATAACTTCCCCACTTCCCCTCCTCCCAGCCCTTGGCAATGACAGGTCTATTTCCTGTCTCCATGAATCTCATTACTCTAGGTATCTCATGTAAGTGGGATCATGCTGCATTTGTCTTTTTGTGATTGGCTTATTTCACTTAGTGTACTGTCCTTCAGGTTCATCCCTGTTGTAGCACATGTCAGAATTCTCTTCCTTTTTAAGGCTAATATGCCATTGATACATAGACCGTGTTTTGTTAATCCATTCATCTCTTTCCGGATGCTTGGGTTGCTTCTACATTTTGGCTATTGTGAATAATGCTGCTGTAAACATGGGTGTACAAATATTTGTTCGAGTCTCTGCTTTCAGTTCTTTTGGGGATATACCCAGATGCAGAATTGCTGGATGTTATGGTAATTCTGTTTTTAATATTTGAAAGAGCCACCGCCATAATGGTTTTCATAGTGCCTGCACCTTTTGACATTCCCCTTGGCAATACACAAGGGTTTCGATTTCTCCTCGTCCTTCTCCAGCACTTATTTTCTGTTTGTTTCTTGTTTGCTTCTTCTTTATTACATTCCCCGGTACTTATTTAGCTTACAGCTCAAAGTTTCTACCTTTTGACCGCTTTCTTCCAGTCCATTCCCCACCCCTTCCTCTGGTCTCTGGTAACTACAAATCTGATCCCTCTCTCTCTCTCTTTTTTTAAAAGATTTTATTTATTTATTTGACAGAGAGAGATCACAAATAGGCAGAGAGGCAGGCAGAGAGAGAGGAGGAAGCAGGCTCCCTGCCGAGAAGAGAGCCCAACGCAGGACTCGATCCCAGGACCCTGAGATCATTACCTGAGCTGAAGGCAGAGGCTTAACCCACTGAGCCACCCAGGCGCCCTGATCTCTTTTCCTATGAAATTTTTGTTTGTTTGTTTGTTTAGATGGCACATATAAATGAAATCACACGGTATTCCTCTTTCTCTCTGGCTGATTTCACTTAGGATAATGCCCTCAGGTTCCATCCTGGGCAGGTTCCATTGTTGCAAATGGCAGGATTTCCTTCTCTTTTATGGCGGAGTAAAATTCTGCTGTATACGAATATGCAGCGCTTTTTAAAAAATAGCAGCCATCCTAATTTTTATGAGGTGATAGCTCACTGTGGTTTTGATTTGCATTTCCCTAGTGACTAGTGGTGTTGAGCATCTTTTCATGGGCTTGTTGGCCATATCTATCTATATCTTTTTTGGAGAAACGTCTGTTTAAGTTCTTTGCTCATTTTTTAAATTGGGTTGTGTTTTACTTGTTGAGTTGTAGGACTTCTTTCACTATTCTGGGTATTAGTCCCTTATCAGATACATGATTTGGAAATGTTTTCTCCCACAAAAGTTTTTAATTTTGATGAAGACCAATTTTTCTTTGTTGGCTATGCTTTGTGTTATTCCAAGAAATCATCACCAAATCTAGTGTCATAAAGCTTTGCCCTGAAGTTTTCTTCTAAGAGTTTTATGGTTTTAGCTCTGGTTTAGGTTTTTATCCGTTTTGAGTTACATCCCCACCTTTTGTTAACTAGCTGTGGCCCTTTAGGAAAATGATCCCTTCTGGTTTCATTCAGACACTGCGGGTGGTATGAATTCCCTTAAATGAAGGAGCAAATGAAGGAGCCTGTATTCCCTACACTACCCGGCAGTAAGAGCTCAGTAACATTTTGTTTCCTCCCTCTCTACTCTCAGTTCTTCCGGAAAGAAATGTAAGGAAGAGGGGAAAAGGACAGTTAGATATTTTTAGGTAGATTGGGGGAGCATCCCCGGACGGGGATGAGATCATGGCGGGGAGGTCTCCTGTCTTCTGCCCCATCAGCCCCTTATATCCCCCACCCCCCGCCCACTTCTGCAGGCACTGCTTCTGGACATCCAAAATGCTCTGGCGAAAGCAGGACAGGTGGTGCGGGAGGCTGTTGGAGGGCTGCAGACAGTGCGCAGTTTTGGAGCCGAGGCTCAGGAGATCCGTCTCTATAAGGAGGCCCTGGAACGGTGCAGGCAGCTGTGGTGGCGACGAGACCTGGAACGTGCCCTCTACGTACTCTTTCAGAGGGTGAGGAGGCTGTGTGGTTGGGGGTAGGAGCCAGAAAGGGACAGGGAAGGCAGTGGGGTCCCCGCTACTCTGTGTGGTGGACTCTTTCAGGGCTTTCTTCTCGCCCTGCAGATGGTGCACTTGGGAATGCAGGTACTAATGCTGAACTGTGGGGTGCAGCAGATCCTGGCTGGGGACCTCACGCAAGGTGGGCTGCTCTCCTTCCTGCTGTATGAGAAGGACATGGGCCATTATGTGCAGGTGAGTCAGGAGCCTGGACATACTCTCACCAACCGCCACCCCCCCGCCCCGTTTTCTCTCTGGCCTCTGGGCCTTGGCCTTTGTTTGAGCCCCTTAAAAATACAAACCAAGGGCGCCTGGGTGGCTCAGTGGATTAAGCCGCTGCCTTCAGCTCAGGTCATGATCTCGGGGTCCTGGGATCGAGTCCCGCATCGGGCTCTCTGCTCCGCAGGGAGCCTGCTTCCCTCTCTCTCTCTCTCTCTGCCTGCCTCTCCGTCTACTTGTGATCTCTCTCTGTCAAATAAATAAATAAAATCTTTAAAAAAAAATACAAACCAAACCAACCCCCAACTCATTGTATTATGGAGAACTTCAAATTTATGCCAAAAAAAAAAAGATGAACTATAATGAACCTGCATGTACGCATCATCTGCTTTAAAATTATCAACTCATGGCCATTCTGTTTCAACTGTACCCCCATCCATATTATTTTGAAGCAAATTCAAGATATAGTTTTATCTGTAAATGCCTCAGGGCATATCTCTAAAACATAAATATTTAACAAATATAACCAGGAAACACATTACACCAAAAAAGTGTAACAGTAGTTCCTAAAATTTATCAAATACAGGGGTTATATTTCCACTTGTCTCATCTATGTAACATATGTGTCTATATTACATTTATCTCTCTCATGTATGTCTGTGGTAGTATCAGCCATTAATGCTCAATGCCTAGATCCATTCAAATCATTAGGGCTTGCAAGACGGTGACACTCTACCATTCCTCCACTTATTAGCTGGAATACATCTATCCAGGGAGACTTACCCTGGTCCACTCTTTGAACCCAGTGGTACAGTTTGAGTAGGAAAGGCAGAATACCATTTGGGTCTTTCCCTAGATTTACCAGTTTTCAAAAATAGCTACTTCACCTTGGTGGTTATTTTATAATTTTCCTACATATTTGTGAAACATCTTTTATGTATGGAGAGCTGTGCTAGGCACTCTGGTGGCTAGAGTGGCAGAGATGAGGTGGGCACAGTGCCTGCTTTTAAGGAGCTCCCTGTCCAGTTAAGGCAAAACAGAACGGTGCACAAGTAATACGGAGCTGGAACTGGAGGGTCTGGGGAGAGAATTAGCGCTGAACGGGAGTACGGACCTCTTTATCCTTTACGTTGCAGATTGGCTCACTGGCTCCTTGGGTTGCCTTTAAATTCCATCTGAATTGCACATTTAGGGGGAGGGAACCCTTTTCGGATGAGGGGAGGTAAGAACGAGCCCATCTCCGAGTAAGAACGAGCCCATCTCCGAGTACGAACACTGCTACCAAGCCTGACCTGGACAGAGTGTGGCAGGGGAGCGTGCGAGGAGCTGGGGGGGACCTGGTTTCTGGTGAAGCTGCATTTGGGGAGCTGATCCCTCCGTTCTTGTTTTCCAGACCCTGGTTTACATGTGCGGCGATATGCTCAGCAACGTCGGGGCTGCGGAGAAGGTGTTTCAGTACCTGGATCGGAAGCCAAAGCTGCCTCCGCCCGGGACGCTGGCCCCTCCCACTCTGCGGGGGCTGGTGGAATTCCAAAATGTCTCTTTTGCGTATCCCAACCGCCCCGACCAGCCTGTGCTCAAGGTGCCTGAGAGGGGCCGCAGGGAGGGAACCCGGACCTCGGCTCCCAGGCAGCATGGCCTGTAGTAGATCTTTTGTCTCTGAGAGATTGATCCTCCCCCCCACCCCCCGACAGAACCAGAAGGCAAGGGCCGTGGGGCAAGCCTCTGACTGTTTCTCGGCTTTTCTAGGGGCTGACGTTCACTCTACGCCCTGGTCAGATGACGGCTCTGGTGGGGCCCAATGGGTCCGGGAAGAGCACAGTGGCTGCCTTGCTGCAGAATCTGTACCAGCCCACCGGGGGACGGCTGCTGCTGGATGGGAAGCCCATCTCTGAGTACGAACACTGCTACCTGCACCGACAGGTGGGTGGTGGTGGGCTGAGGGCCTGCGGTGAGGACAGGCGATAGGAGGGAAGAAACATGTGCAGAGAGCATGGGAGATCCGTGGGAAGAAGCACAAGGAGCCCATTCTAAGGGAGCTAGACCAGGAGGAAAAGAGGATCCTTGCCATGGAGGCTTGACACAATGTCCCCTGCTCCCATCCCCTCTGCACAGGTGACTTCGGTGGGGCAGGAGCCTGTCCTCTTCTCCGGTTCTGTGAGGGATAACATTGCTTACGGGCTGAAGAGCTGCAGTGATGAGAAGGTGATGGCAGCTGCCCAGGCCGCCAATGCCCACGGCTTCATACAGGAGTTGGAGCATGGACTGAATACAGGTACCTTCCTTCAGAATAGGAGCTGGAGCTGCTTCCTGGGGGTGCGGGTTGTGTCTGCTATTTCCTTGCCTGGTGCTTGGCTCCCACTTTCCTGCCTTCCCCGGCACCGGCACCGGGAGTTTTCTAGTTGCGTGTCCTGGTTGGGAGACAGCCCCCGGGGTAGTAGTGCTCCCTCTCTTGGGGCAGCCTCAACAGGTGTCCACCCCTGCCCTCCTGACATAGGCTCTCATGCTTCCCTCATGGGTGCTGGTGGAAAGACCAGCTGTGCGCTTGTCCCTGCTCATGGGGAGGACACTGTCGTGGCCACTTGTGTCTGAGAAAAGGTATTTCTCGGAATCCTCAGATGTAGGGGAGAAAGGGAAGCAGCTGGCTGCGGGACAGAAGCAGTGTCTGGCCATTGCCCGGGCCCTTGTGCGGGACCCACGAGTCCTCATCCTGGATGAAGCCACCAGTGCTCTGGACGTCCAGTGTGAGCAGGCTGTGAGTCCTGGGGCGGCAGGCAGTGGGACCTGAGGCTCATGATTGAAGGACCAGTGTATGCAGAATTGGGCAGAGGAAGACGAATGGCCCACTAGTGGAAGACTATCTGTGCTTTCGCAGGGGGTGGGGAGTGGAATGGAGAGTATGGGGTGTGGGAACAGTCCCTCCTTTTCCCCAGTTCCCTTTACAGCGGGACAGCTGAGAGAGAAGGGCAGTGCAGACTTTGTCGTCTTTCTCATCGTTCACGTCTTCTCTACCCTGTGCCACAAGAGATATTGCCCAGTTGCGATATGGTGCCCATCCTGTTCTTATTTTTCTTTATTTTTTTTTTAAAGATTTTATTTATTTGAGAGAGCAAGTGAGAGCAAGTGAAAGAGCTCAAGCAGGGTGAGCAGCAGAGGGAGAGGGGGAAGCAGGCCCCCTGACAGGACTTGGTCCCAGGACCCTGGGATTATAACCTGAGCCTAAGACAGACCCTTAACCCACTGAGCCACCCAGGTGCCCCTCTTCTTACCCTTCTGAGGCATTATGATCCTCCCCCTTCAGCTGCAGGACTGGAAATCCCACGGGGACCGAACAGTGCTGGTGATTGCTCACAGGCTGCAGACGGTGCAGAGTGCGGACCAGGTCCTGGTGCTCAGGCAGGGTGAGCTGCGGAAGCACTCAGAGCTCATGGAGGGCCAGGACCTCTATTCCCGCCTGGTGCAGCAGCTCCTGGAGGACTGAGAGCCCGGGGACACGGGACCCTTCCAGTGGTCATCTCCATGATCCAGAGTAGCTCGTGCTGGGAGTTTCCCTGGGCTTGTGCTGCTGGGTAGTTGTTCCTAGAGCTATTGACATGGTGGAAGTTTGGGCCACGTGTGCTGACCGGGGCTGGGAGAAAGGGGGGTGCTGTCTGTTTCCAAGATCCTCATTTCCCTGCTGTATTGTGGCATAATACATCTATTTAAAGTACATTTTCCCTATTAAGTAAATAGCACGTATACGTAGAGAAAAGTAAAACTAACCCTTGTTTCATCTCCCAAAGGTGACCATAGCTACTGTTTTGCTAGCTACCTGTGTCTTAATCTGTTTTTCGAGATAAATATTAGCCAGTATGATGTAAATATTCATGAGGTTGCCTTTCTGTGTCTTTCCCCTTTCACACTGATATCTTATATTTTGGGGGAAGCTAGGATATGGAGGGGTAGAACACTGTTTCCTAATTAACAATGTTAATAAAACACTGGTAATATCTACCATTTATAGAGTTTTAATATGATAGGAAGTATGCTAAATGTTTTTCAGGCATTATCATATTTTGTCCTTTTCCTTAAGCCTGTGTGGTTGGTTATTATTATCCCCATCTTACAGGTGAGGAAACTGAGTCTCGAAGAGGTTAAATAACTTTTCCAAGGTTACACAGGGGTGGAGTTGGAGTCGAATCCAAGCCTGACCCCGGAGTCCACAACCTCAACCAGTAAATTATATGATGTCATGTGTTCATAATCTTGAATTCATACTCAGATTCAGTAAAGAGCTCTGAATTCGCTGCCTTCTCTCTAGTCCCGTGGTTATTATAACTTTCATTTAGTCTTAGATGATCTCATCACCAAAGAGGTTTCCCCATCATTGGCTCAGCTCTTCCAGCCGTTCTTTGTGAAGTCATTTTTCTTTTGCAGACACGTAAGATGACGTCACTTCCCAAAAGTCCTTCAAGCTCTTCCTTCCTTTCTGCTCAGATCTTCCTCACAGCATGCGAGGTTGTGCAGCTCATTTGCAGCACCCTTCCCTGCTGCATTAAGCTCCCACTGCAAACTTCCTGCCCTCCTCATGCCTGTGGGCCTTTGCATATGGTGTGTTCTTGCTGCTTCTTGAACCACCCTTTATGATTTACCCCAGTCCTTCAAGACTTAACTCGGGTCAGGTCTTCCACTCTGAGCTTATTCTGGAGAAAGTGTCCTTTGCATGTGCTTCTGTTGCCCCAGAGCTTACCTCTTTCACAGCCTGTAGTAAACTCCTCATCCCCCCACCCCTCTGTTCTCCCACTAGACCATGAGTTCCTGGGGGGGAAGGCCATATATTTTACTAAGTTTTATATTGACTACCTGGCACAGGGCTTGATTCATAGCAGACAATAAGCAAATGTCTGTTGCACAAATGAGTAAATCTTCTCTGTCCTCCCTCCACATGCCAACCACTGAAAATTCAGAGCTGTGTGCATTACTGCCTTTTGGGAGGGACTTACCTTTGAAGGTTCCTATTCTAGGAAAGAGAAACTTTCACGTTCCCAGAAACACCAGGTGCTTTCCAGCTCTAGCAATGAACTACCCGGAACTTTTGCAGTTTTGGTTTCTTTTTTTCATCCTGGTAACTGTTGGGAATGGGCAAAGTGAGAGAAGGGAGCTTTCTTATGCAGGTATGCCTTCACTTCATTCTGGTGTTAGTGTCTCAAATACCACTGTACTTAAATACCCATGTGGACAATTTTGGCCCAGTTTCTTTCCCTCTTAACCAAACGTCCTTCCTCTATTTATAAAATGGGAATAATCATTCCTGTATGTCCCAACCTTAGGGAAATTGTTGCCCTCAAGGAGGAAGATGATCTGTTAAAATTCTTTGATAGCCTCAGTGTAATGACGATAGCCTCAATATAATGACACCTAATAGTTTAAGCCTGCAAGGTATCTTAAAAATAATAAAGCAGTCAGATCTTACTTTATAGAAAGGGAAACTGGCCTGAAACTGCAGGGCCACTCAGTGATTGAGCTGGGAAGAAAACTCAGGCACTCAGACGGGCATCAGAAAGATGCAGCAGACCTCAGGATCTTAGGGTGTCTGGAAAGTTGGTTATCTGAGGGAAACTCCCAAGTAGACCTTATGTCAGGGACACATTCTGGAAATGTTCCCTGGAGGTCAAAGTGTGGAACTTTGGCAAAAGCCTCCAAGTGTGATTTGTTTGGTAATCACAGATATGAGTGATTCTAGTCTGTTCCTGAGTTCTAGTTCTTTTCATTCACCCCGCCTCCCCTCCAACACCATTTGATCTGCCTGCCCCTTAACCTCCCCTTCTTGTCACTTACCTTCGGCATCTTTCCCATTCGGTCATATTTTACTCTTTCCAAAGGATGGTATGAATGGAGAGGGGAAACGTTAGGAAACTCTCATAGATTTCTCTGGAGCCCGCAGACAACCCATCTGCTTTGCCCAGTGTGGAAATGGCATTGAATTTCAAGTCCTTTATTCCCCAGCCACGTAGGGTAGCCCCTTTGCCGTTCTCATGGCAGTTGTGATTCAAGAGGAGACTGAGTGCAGTTGCCAGAATTTTGGAGAAAGGAATAGGAGTAAGGAAAACAAAGATCTTCCTGGTTTTTGGTGCTTAGTGAGCCAAAAAAGCACCCATCTGATTGAATCTGATGCCCATTTAGTAATCGTAGGAAATACTGGGTTTTGAACCTAGAGTTTTATGGACTTATGAATTATTACAATTCATGTAATTGCCATTACAATAACAATAATCATTCAAGTGCTGTGCTAAGTGCCTCATGTATATCTTTGTACTTTTTCCTCAAGATAATCCTAGGTGCAGATGTTACTATATCAGTTCTAAGAATGAGAAAATGGACATTTAGGCACATTGTCTGGCTCACAAAGCTTGGAAAAGGCGGACTCTGCCCAGCTTTACTACAAAACTCAAAAGAGTTGCCTATGCTCCTTCTATCTGCTTACCTTCCTACTAGCCTCTTTTTAAAAATATATTTATGTGAATAGGAAATATATTAATGGGGTTTAAAATTGAAGAGCCCCAACAAGGTATGTAGAGGAAACCCTCACTCCCATCCTTCCCATGGTTTACCAAGACCCCTTGCACACACAGTCCATGTTCCAAGCTTTATATTTATCCTTCTAGGGAAATTTCATGTATATTTAAGCAAATTTGTGAATATGTTCTTGTTCCCTATTTTTACAAATAGGTCTTTAGATGCACTGTTTTGAACTTTATTTTTTTATACTTAGAAATATACGACTATATAGCATTCTATTTTATGGAAGTACTGTATTTCATTTAGCTTGTCTTCTCCTAGTGATGGGTAGCTAGGTTACTTGAAGTCTCTAGCTAGTATAAGCAATGCCTTGTGTAGACATTATAATACACGTGTGCAAGAATACCCATAGGGTAAAATTCTAAATGGGGAGTTGCTGAGTCCAAGTGTATGTATATATATTACTGATATTGATATATGTTGCAGAATTGCCCTCATAAAGGTTGTATTCATGCACAGTTCCATCAGTAATATATAAATTTATCTGTTTCCCCACATTCTCATCAACATGGAGTGCTGTTAAATTAGCTTTTTTAGGTTTTATCAATTTTATGAATAAGAAGTGACATCATATGGTAGTTGTCATTTGTTTTTCTTTTATTACCACTTACATAAGCATATTAAATTGAGCAAGAAAAATTGGGATACAGGAAACAAAAATGACACACATACACAACAATAACAACACAATATCTGTCTATAATATTGGTAAATCAGAATGAGGAATGAAGAATAACTATGAAAATCACGAACAGATATGACTATGAAATTTAAGAACACAATAGAACAATCACAACATGAGAATGAGGCAGATAAAGTAAGACATTCTAAAGCCTTTGTTTTATTTGGAAAGGGGGTAGAGTTTAACTTCGGATGTTGCCAGTTTAAAACTATGTTAAAAATGTAGGGGTAAAAATAGAGTTACCCTATGATCCAGCAATTGCACTACTAGATATTTACCCCAAAAGATAGAAATACAGTGATCCGAAGGGACACCTGCACCCCAATGTTTATAGCAGCAATGTCCACAATAGCCAATCTATGGAAAAAGCCCAGATGTCCATTGACAGATGAATGGATAAAGAAGATGTGGTATATATAGACAATGGAATATTCCTCAGCCATCAAAAAGAATGAATTCTTGCCATTTGCAATGACGTGGTTGGAACTAGAGGGTATTATGCTGAGTGAAATCAGTCAATAAGAGAAAGAAAAATACCATAAGATTTTACTCATGTGAAATTTAAGACACAAAACAGATGACCACAGGGGAAGGCAAGGAAAATAAGATGAAAACAGAGAGGAAAGCAAATCATAAGAGACTCTTAATTATAGGAAATAAACTGAAGGTTGCTGGAGGGACGTGTGTGGGGGGGATGGGGTAATTGGGAGATGGGCATTAAGGAGGCCACTTGATGTGATGAGTGTTGGGTGTTATATGCAATTGATGAATCACTAAATTCTACCTCTGAAACTAATAAGGTAGGATATGTTAATTAAATTGAATTTAAATTTAAAAAATTAAGTATAGGGGTAACTCTTAACTAGAGTTTAAAATTCTTAAGTCAATAAGAGGAAGTTAGAGAATACATTAAAAATGTACTCAATTTGGGCACCTGGGTGGCTCAGTGGGTTAAGCCTCTGCCTTCAACTCAGGTCATGATCTCAGAGTCCTAGGATCAAGGCCAGCTCTGCTTAGCAGGGAGCCTGCTTCCCCTCTCTCTCTGCCTGCCTCTCTGCCTACTTGTGACCTCTCTCTCTGTGTCCAATAAATAAATAAAAAAAATCTTTTCAAAAATGTACTCAATTGACAAACCATAAGAGACTCTTAATCTCACAAAACAAACTGAGGGTTGCCAGGGGGTGGGGGCTAGGGAGAGGGTGGTGGGGTTATGGATATTGGGGAGGGTATGTGCTATGGTGAGTGCTGTGAAGTGTGTAAACCTGGCGATTCACAGACCTGTACCTCTGGGGCTAATAATACATTATATGTTAATAAAAAAATTAAATTGGGGCACCTGGGTGGCTCAGTGGGTTAAGCCTCTGCCTTTGGCTCAGGTCATGATCCCAGGGTCCTGGGATCGAGCCCCGCATTGGGCTCTCTGTTCAGTGGGG